TTTTTATTTTGGCCATATTACTATCACACGAAACACGTGTTTTGATGTAAATAAACAATCTGTTGTATATGCCACTTAGAACTCAAGTTTCAAGGACACGCTCGTGACAACCCGTCCACTTTAATATGACGAACACAAAGAGAACTTAACGGGGACTGTGTTATTTTCAATGACTTGTTATCCAAGAAACGTTCCGAGCGCCTGTGGCGCTGACTGACTGTGCCTTGCCTTCTTAGGAGGTGGTGAGTCCAAGTGCTTCCACTGCATTGACTGGGCTTGGTCTCTGGATCATATTGATGGACCCAAGTTTCATCCTGTGTAATCAGTCTTTTGCAGAAAAACGATTTATATTCTTGGCACATCTCCAAATTCATCCGCGAGCAGTCAACGCGTTCTTGCTTCTGGAAAGGTGTGAGCAACCTGGGAATCCATCTGGCAGACACCTTATGCATATGCAAATGGTCATGAATGATAGTTTCCACAGACCCTGTACTAATCTTGACCTCTTGGGCTATTTGGCTAACAGTAATGCGTCGATCTTCCATAATGACTGCCTCAACTTGACGGACAGATGCCTCATCAATGGCAGAAGAGGGACGACCAGGTCTGGGACCTGTTTTCACAGACTTCCGGCCATGTTTGAATTCACGATGCCAGCGTTTTACAACATCATATGATGGAGCATCATCACCATAAGTTTCTTTCATTTCATCAAAAGTCGCCTTTGCTGTGCGTCCTTTCAAATACAGACACTCAACTGGCTCCTTTTCACACCTGACTCAGTTCAAACATCTATAAATAATAATAATAATGTTTATTCAACCTTTGTATCGGCAGCATGAAAACAGTAATACATATCTTTAAATTACATTTATCATTTCTTTTCTATATTGCCATAAATCAGTTACATATTTCCTAATTAAAGCTGATGAGGTATTTCCCACGTTTTCATTTATATTCCATAGCCTGAGCGTATCACCAAAATAGAAATTGAACCTATAATTCAACCCCCCTGAAAGAAAACTATTCATTAGTGATGAAGATTCAACATTGTTTCTCCGTGAGGTTTCTAATGCTAAATAAAATTCCTTTCTAATATGATTAGATGACGTACAAAGATAAAGAAAGTGGTAAATGTCTTCTTTGCCCTGATTGCAGACTCCACAAATTCCATTACCCCTGTAATTTTTCGATCCCATTTTGTTACCTTCAAGATCTAAAGAGTTTGATCTAGTTTTAAAGACAAGGGAGATACCATGATGATCATAAGGATTCATTATGTAATTTTCTTTTTTAGTGTTTCTTTTAATCCAACAGTAGTGTTTTAATGATTTCATCTTCTCTATTTTTTTGTAAACATGTTTATTTCATTTTCTTTACTGATTTTGATAAAACTTCTTATCCATTTTGGATTTTGGGTTATTTCATTTCCATAGATATGATCCATGCCATTAGTCACTAGAATGTTTTCTACATATTTAGGCCAATTCCAAGTCAGTTTAACTAATCATAAACCACAATTAGTTCAGAGCTGTTTTTGCAACATAACCCATAGAGATGTAAATCATTACACATGCAAAATTTCATTTAGATCAGACAACTGGAACTTATTGAACGCCCCTCGTAGTTGGTCGCTGTATTGAGTGGTAAGTTCGATGTGTTGTGTGGTAAGTTCGATGTACTGTGTGGTACGTTCGATGTATTGTGTGGTAAGTTCGATGTATTGTGTGGTAAGTTCGATGTATTGTGTGGTAAGTTCGATGTATTGTAAGTTCGATGTATTGTGTGGTAAGTTCGATGTATTGTGTGGTAAGTTCGATGTATTGCAAGTTCGATGTATTGTGTGGTAAGTTCGATGTATTGTGTGGTAAGTTCGATGTATTGTGTGGTAAGTTCGATGTATTGTGTGGTAAGTTCGATGT